ACTCCCCGCGTCAAGGACCTTCTGCCTCGCCTCACGCCCATCCTCAAGAACAGGCACGAGAAGGTGAGGTGCAGTGCAGTGATGGGCACGCACGAGAGAGGGTATGCGTGCTCTCAGCATGACACATGGTTCATTCCAGTGGTAGGATAGGATCTCATGTAATTGCCTCCCCCCATCGAGGACCTTCTGCCTCGCCTCACGCCCATCCTCAAGAACAGGCACGAGAAGGTAAGCTGCAGTGATTGGAATGAGAACGTACGCGTGCTCCCTGCATGAACTCCCCAGTTGAGGCTATGACTTGATTGACTCCCCCCATAAAGTACCTTCTGCCGCGCCTCACGCCCATCCTCAAGAACAGGCACGAGAAGGTAAGCTGCAGTGATTGGAACGAGAACGTACGCGTGCTCCCTGCATGAACTCCCCAGTGGAGGCTATTACATGATTGACTCCCCGCGTCAAGGACCTTCTGCCTCGCCTCACGCCCATCCTCAAGAACAGGCATGAGAAGGTAAGTCGCCGTTGTTTTGTTCTTCCATCTCATGAATCTGGGCTGCATTTGTGGTCCGCTCCGCTCCTCCGTTGATAATTCCCATCACCTCAATTCCACCAACCCCCGCGCCACCCACAGGTGCAGTGCAGTGCAGGCGGAATTCATTGATCTGATCTGGTGGGATGCATAATGCATTGCAGACAGACAGGCTGAACCTCTGTTTTTTCACCCATCCTTAACACATCGCCTCCCCTCTCCCCCACCTCCACCCCACCTCCCTTTCCCCTCTTCCCTTCCACCACCCACTATCCCACCCCTACAGGTGCAGGAGAATTGCATCGACCTGGTGGGGCGCATTGCGGACAGACAGACATGCTGAACTTTTCCTAAACCCTTCTTTTCTTGTGTTTTGTGTGTTTCCAACACCATCACCCACTATTCCACCTCACAGGTGCAGGAGAATTGCATCGACCTGGTGGGGCGCATTGCAGACAGGGGAGCCGAGTTTGTGCCGGCGAGGGAGTGGATGCGCATCTGCTTCGAGCTGCTGGACATGCTCAAGGTGAGGAGCGAGAGAAGGATGTGGGGCATGTTCAAGAAGGGGATTGTGGCATTTGGTGTCAGTGAGTGGCGGGCAGGCAGTGAGGGAGTGGATGCGCATCTGCTTCGAGCTGCTGGACATGCTCAAGGTGCGTGCCATGGGTAGGAAGGCATGTGGTCAATGTGAGGGGAAGGAACAAGGGGATTGTGGCGTTTGTTGTCAGTGAGTGGAACGCAGGCAGTGAGGGAGTGGATGCGCACCTGCTTCGAGCTGCTGGGCATGCTCAAGGTGAGTGATGAGTGGGGAGAGACCGGGCTCGCTCAAGGTGATGGTATGGTGGACGGGCAATGCTAGTGTGGGGAGGTGAGAGCAGAGGTGAGATACCAGGTGAATATTGCAAAGGCCATTGCAAAGGCCATTGGCTCCCAATACCCTGGCTGGCAACGCTGCTCCAAGCAACCATTCCCTCCTCTCACTCCGCTCCTTCTCTCTCCTTCCATCCTCCCCCCTCCCCACCCTGCAGGTGCATAAGAAGGGAATCAGGCGAGCTACAGTGAACACCTTTGGATACATCGCTAAGGCCATCGGCCCCCAGGACGTGCTGGCGACGCTGCTGAACAACCTCAAGGTGCAGGAGCGGCAGAACAACCCATCTTCTCCCTCCCTGCTGCCCCTCCACTCTTTCCCAGGCACTCAAGAAGGGCATTCGGCGTGCTACGTTGAACACATTCGGCTACATTGCCAAGGCCATTGGCCCACAGGACGTGCTGGCAATACTCACACTGCTGCCCTGCCGCACCCCTTCCCTTTCCCGCTCCCGCCCTTGTCAGGCGCACAAGAAGGGCATCCGGCGAGCCACAGTGAACACGTTCGGTTACATTGCCAAGGCCATTGGCCCCCAGGACGTGCTGGCGACGCTGCTGAACAACCTCAAGGTGCAGGAGCGGCAGAACCGCGTGTGCACCACTGTGGCGATCGCGATCGTGGCTGAGACCTGCTCTCCGTTCACTGTGCTGCCGGCTCTCATGAACGAGTGAGTGATACATGTAGCAACAACAGCTGATCGGGTTTTGTGTTTGAGGTGCCTCAACGGCAGCAGCTGAAATCCTCAAGGTGAGTGGTGCTGGTAGCAACGACGCTGCTGAACAACCTCAAGGTGCAGGAGCGGCAGAACCGCGTGTGCACCACCGTGTCGATTGCAGTTGTTACCGAGACCTGCTCGCCCTTCACCGTGCTGCCTGCGCTCATGAACGAGTGAGTGCTGCTTTGATGACCAAGACAGTATAACTGTGAAGCAAAGGGGTGACTGTTTTGTTCATCTGATTCTTTAGAGTCAAACATGCTTCATTGATTCTTTTTGCTTCCCATCACTGCATGTACTTCGCCTCGCCTCGCCTCTTCCTCCCCCAACAAGGTATTGTGTGCCGCAGCTGAACGTGCAGAGCCTCGCTGAGCATTGTCATCGAGGCTCCTCAATTGAACCATGCGTCCTCTCCTCTCCCTCTTCTCCTGTGCCGCATGCCGCAGCCGAGCGTGCAAAACACAGAGATCTGATCTTTATGCTGTCCTCCCTCACGATCCCCTTCCATCCCCCTGTTCTCACCCCTCCCCCTTCTCTCCCTGTCCCTCCCTCTCTCTCTCAGTCCCCCCGCCTCTCTCCCTGTTACCCCGCCTATCTACCCTCTTACCCCCTCGTCCTCCTCTCCCCTCCCCTTCCAGGTACCCCGTGGCAGAGCTGAACGTGGAACGTGGTATTGAGCCTCCCCCCTCTTTCTCGCCCTTCTCTTGCCCCTTCCCATCCCTCCCAGGTACCGAGTGCCGGAGCTGAACGTGCAGAACGGGGCGCTCGAGTCAGCATGTTTCTGAGATTCTTCTTCCCAACCCCCAACCCATTTGCACCCCTCTCCTGCCTCTTCCACTGTCCGTCTTACACTCCCCTCCCCCCTCCCCTCCCAGGTACCGTGTGCCGGAGCTAAATGTGCAGCACGGGGTGCTCAAGTCGCTGTCGTTCCTGAGATTTCTCTTCCCAACGCCCCCCACCCCTTCTCACCACTCCTGCCTCTTCCGCTCTCCCTCGTATATACACCCTCCTTCTCCCAGGTACCGTGTGCCGGAGCTGAACGTGCAGAACGGGGTGCTCAAGTCGCTGTCGTTCCTCTTTGAGTACATCGGCGAGATGGGCCGCGACTACATCTATGCCGTCACTCCGCTGCTGGAGGATGCCCTCATGGACCGCGACCTCGTGCACCGACAGGTGAGATGAATTATGTGGAGCGGGGCTGGGTTTGGGTTGTTAGGTGAGGGGTTACAGTGGGTGAAATGGGGCGCGACTACATCTATGCCGTCACTCCGCTGCTGGAGGATGCCCTCATGGACCGCGACCTCGTGCACCGACAGGTCAGTTGGTTGAACTGTACAGCGCGGGGTGTGGGGAGGATTGGCATGATGGGTATGATGGGGCGCGACTACATCTATGCGGTCACTCCGCTGCTGGAAGATGCATTCATGGACTGCGACCTGGTGCACCGACAGGTGAGGTGGGATGTGTGTGGTTGAGCGGGGCGTGGGGAGCGGGCGGCTATGATGGGTGAGATGGGGCGAGATTGCATCTATGCTGTTACTCCGCTGCTGGAAGATGCACTCATGGACCGCGACCTGGTGCACCGACAGGTGGGTGGGGCGTGTGTGGAAGGCGTTGGGGTCGGGGTTGGGGTCGGGGTCGGGGTTGGGGTCTGGGTCGGGACTGGGCTTGGGGTGTTACAAGGAGTGAGATGGGGCATGATTATATTGTTACCATCACGTTGCTGCTGGAAGATGCCCTTATGGACCGAGACCTGGTGCACCGACAGGTGGGTAGTGTATGGCGAGGGGGTGTGTAGGGTTAGGGGGCCATAGATTGGTTATATGACTATATCCATTCTCTCAAGCGGTCTTTGTATCGATAAACCTACTTGAAAACTCATCCCCCCAATGCCCACCCACGTTTTCCTTCATCTACCAACCTGAGTCTACTCCTCTGAACCATATATCCTCTTCCACTCACTTGTGTTTCAGACGGCAGCATCGGCAGTGATGCACATGACGCTGGGAGTGGCAGGCCTTGGTTGTGAAGATGCCCTGGTGAGTCCTCTGTTCGCTGCGCTTGTCCACAATGCGTATTGTCCACCATGCAGCACAACCCCTTACTCCCATTCCACGCCACCATGCCTTTCTCAATGCACATCTCGTTGCTGTTTACTCCACTGCTTCGCCTTGCTGCCAGGCGTATTTCATCTGTGACCGTGCCCTTTCATTCTCATGCTGATTGTATGCAGATTCACTTGCTAAACCTGGTGTGGCCCAACATCTTTGAGACATCACCTCACCTGATTCAAGCAGTCATGGGAACCATTGATGGCATGAGGGTGGCCCTGGGCCCTGCACTCGTTCTTGGATATGTCCTGCAGGTATGCAGCGTTTGCTGGGTCGTTTTATTGTTGCATACCGTACGTGTGGTTCTCTTGCTGTTGAGCAAGGATTGTATTTCAAACTAACTTGTCCTTGTAGACTTTAATCTGAGCCCCTTTTCTTTCCTGTTTGTTTTCCATGCAGGGTCTATACCATCCAGCTCGTAAGGTGCGTGAGGTGTATTGGCGTATCTACAACAACCTGTACATAGGTGCACAAGATGCCCTTGTGGCTGCATACCCCCGCCTGCCTGACGAGCCAAACAATATCTACACTCGTGCGGAGCTTGACATGTTCATCTGATGCACGTTTGTAGAGACCAGAGCTGGTTGGCTTAAGGTGGTTGCACGAAGAAGCGCAAATGCTTGGTGTCAACTGGTGTCATATTACAAACCAACTTTGAATTATGATAGTGTGGAGCAGCTTCCAAAGCTGTACTGTGTTGTAATTTGCTTGCTGTAACACTGCATTTGTGACCGACCATTCATGTTAAAATCCAGTAGGAACAAAAGTACGGCATCTTCATTCGTCCTTAGATGTGATGGCTGACAGGCTCAACTCCACACAGGAGGGGCCAGCTCCAGAAGCACAGCGCAGCACAAAATCAGTATCACTTATCGTTGGCTCCTGCAAAGCACCAAAGAAATACATGACATGAAAGACTGGGATGTGATCAAGTAGCGATGATGCAAGAATTGTCACCGTGCTGATTCAGCACAGCACATCTGCTCACCCTTCGTTCTGGAGGCAGCATGTTGTGGTGGTGTGCGAGGCTCAACAGCACCATCAAGTACCTCTGCGCTGTCATTGTTCCTGCAGCACTAACCATAGTTAGGAAATGAAGTGGCCTCTCAACAGATTGCGATTTTGATGCATTACCTTTTGCAGAAGTTTGTCCAAGCATGTTTGTTAGATGATCTCTTCGAAATGCTCTCTCCCCAGACTTGACAGCCACAGCAATGTCCTTTTCAAGCTTATGTGAAAGTGCAGAGATGCTTGACGGGTCAGATAAATGCTCCTGCAGTGGCAACATAAACACGGGCATTGTGCACGATGATGACAGCCACATTAACTAGAGTCAAACGATCATCTACCAAAAAAACGTACCGGATAAGCATCCCGACTCATCACTTGCTCGATCAGGTCTTGCAGCCTGGGGCGCTTCCCTCGGGCATTACCACAAGAGGAAGTCTCCACAGCTGATGAACCCATGGAACACTGTGGATGAGTTGCAGTAGATTGAGATCCAACTGCCTGTGAACTAGGAGCTGCCATTGCAGGTCGTACGATTCCAACGCTAACAGGAGGTGCTACCGTCTCAATTCTTGTGGGCACAGGAACACTGTTGCACAGATCTGCTGCTTTTGAAAAACGGCCAGTTCCAGGCATTGGATGAACGCCAGCGTGCCTCGCATTGTCACGTAAAACTGATGATCCTCGCTGGTCATGGTCAGCGGCAACTGGAGCAGTGAACGAAACTGGATAATTGCAGTTTCTTGCAGGATCTGGAGCAGATGCGGGCTGGATGTTCTCACGATGGTCCCTTGAATTTCCTGATGTTGGAATCCTAAATTTAGTATCGGCACATGGCTCACCACTTGGCTTGCAATAAGCCACCACTGGCGCAGGTCGCTGAGGCTGATGCATCACAGTTGGGCCATCATGATTGGGAGAGTGAGCTGGATCCAGATCCTCCCACCCACATAAATCCCAGAAATCCTGGTCGTTGTGGTCTTCTTCGGGCATCGAGGAACCAGATGGCTCCTGAACTGGTATTTCCAATGGATTGTCATGGTCGTCAACATATTCCTGAATTCCTTCCATCTCAGGCAGTGGAAGTTGGAAAGTGTCATCTTCATATACTACAAGTGACATGTCAGACATCTTGGAGCCTGGATATCACACAAAATTTAGTCACAAGGCCAGGGAAGACAAGAATAGCAATCAAAGCAACATACATGAAACATTGGAGAAGTCAAGGTCGAAACCCCCCTCAATCTGTAGAGCATCAGGAAAACATTATTATCCAACGTTTACCACGAAGCAGGACCACAACTTTTGTACAAAAGTAGCACCATACCGTGGAAGGGTCGGTGAACAGCTTCTCACGATACGAAACAATGTCGAATCTTGCTGCACAAGCGAAACAAAAAGCCCTCGATAGAAATTCCAGGAATAGGATTTGCCTTTAAAAGGGAGTTCTGTGAATTAATGAAATCGTTTGCTTCCATTTTGTAACCTTAGCACTTACATCTGTACAGGGAAAGCCTGAACATGTCTCGGTCCATATCGGTATCATCCCACGGATCTGAGGGAATTGGTTCCTCACACTGCTGTGGTGGCATAAGAAGCCTCTCCGCATCACGAATTTGCCTGCAAATTTGACAAGCGCTTGATCATCCATTTTGAGGGTGAACAGAATGGGCCGTATGGAATCAAGAAAGCTTTGGCTGCACACACTGATTGTGCACAAGGTTGCTTTACTTACCTGTTTTGTCGGGTAGTGCTGCTGGAATCTGCCTCTCGAAACTTTGAAACCACAAGCCGATCAAGGAGAAGGATACTGGGTCCCTGCTGAAGTAGGTTGAGAGAGCGTGGACAGCTAAATATGCGGCACAAACCCCAAAAATCATACCTTGTCAACTGTTGGGGCCTCCTCAGTTTGTATTAAATTATCTGGTGGGCCATTTCCATCCACAGTCATTTCTGCTGGTTGTTCCTCAGATTGGCACTCTGGTGGGCCCATGGAGTCACCTTCTGGCTGATTCATTGAGATTGACACCACTTTCTCCAGACGTGATTTTCTTTTACCAAACTGTGGCTTGTACAGACCACAAACTTGAGTCGCCTCGTGATTGCCAGGTTTGACTTGGTTTGCGTCCGGACATTCGGTAATCGGGTCAGGACATTCGGTAATCGAGTCAGGAAAAGGCTCAGGAGGCGCATGCCATTGCTCATGTTCTTGAGGCAGGTGGGACATTTCAGCATCCACATGCTGTGCATCAGCTTGGACAGGAACCGCTTGTGGGGTCCTTGCAGCCATGGCCTGCCAAGTGTGAGACGAGACATTAGCTTAGAGAAAGTTGCAGCACACATGACGATTAGCAAAGCACAACTAACAAGTCTACCTCCTCTGGCGAGTTAGCATTTTCTGCTGCGCGAGCAGCCTTCTTCGCTTCATGTTCCTCAACAAGCTTATCCACCAGGTCAAAGTCATCATAGTCACAAATATCATCAAAATCCTTGTCTTCTCCATTAGGAGCAGCATAGGGCAAGGCTTCCCCGTGCACCTGCAGCATCCAAGAATAATCAACAGGATTGATGATGAGTATGTTGCACAGCGCAGGTGCGGACTCCTCCGGTGCAATGGCTAAATTACGTCTGGCTTCATATTTGGAGAAGAAGTGTCAGATGCAGCCTCGCCATCAAACAGTGACGGAACTTCAAATGGAGCATCATCTTCAGCAGCTTCATCATCCAATAGGTCTTCTTCAATGGGAACAACGAGACCTTTATACGGTCTTAGATCAAAGTATGTGGGAATGCTTATCTCGGGGTAACCATCATTGTGTCCATGCCAGTCAAGCACTCTTCGCAAACAAAGGCTGATGGTTAGATGTTATACACGCAGATGCGCCCATAAGTGGCTCAGCTTGAAGTTGCCTACCTTGAGATTGTGGATTCCAAGTTCCCAGCGGTGGAAGAGGTTAGGTTGTAACACAACTCGTCCCGCTTGAGGAAAAGGGACTTGTTTCCAGATATTTTACTGATCTGCGAGGGAGGTATACCGTCAGTGTGGTTTCAGCTGATCATGCTGTTGCAAAATATGTCCAAATTATGGTACATCAAATTAAACTTACTGCATTGGCCACCGCATCGTCCAGGTTTAATTCCAGCACTCCCTGATTGTTCCTTCGCTGCGTTGCGGTCTCAATGAAGCTACCAAATTTACCATGTCTGCTCTTCTCTTCGCCGCTCAGTAGTTGCCCATCATCCCCGAAAATAGTTTTGTACCGATCGAGGTCAGACTCCGTCGATTCTTGCCCATTGACGTTTCGGGCTGTAGAATGTAGATGCTGTTAGCTGTGAGCACGAAAACGACTAAAGTATCACCGCAAATTTGACCTGACTTGATTTTGTAGGCTTTGAACCAGGCTCCCTAGCTGTGGTCTTGAGCTCTCGAACGGCCTCAGTGGTCTTCTTAGACAACACGTCTGTTTTGAATGGAACGCGTTATTGGCAAGAGGCTCCTAGGGTTTCATCAGCCAGCAAAACATGGATACTCGCGTACCTCGCATTGTTCGAATAAGCTGCACGCATGAACGTTGACGTCAGATGCAAGACGGAAAAAAACACTCAATTGATTCATGGGTAACTTCTTACCTCCGCTCGGACATGAACGTTGGTTGACGCCTCCTCCACGTCAGCCTTAGTAACGACATTTTTCCTTTTTCCCTTGTTATCTACCTGTGGAAAGAAGCTGACGTCAATAAACAGTAGAGTGGCCAATATATCGTGCTAAGTATCCATAGCCTTACAATGTCAAATGGTGCTAAGGCTAGCGAAAGGTACTTCTGATCGAACGGGTTCTTCTTGTGCCTCTTGTGTGCGACATCATCAGCAACTGATAATATTGAATAACGTCGTTCACCCCCTTCCGCAATTGATGACTGGATCCTGTACTTGACCGCAGGTGGCGCCATGCTCCTAGTATAAGGAGAAGCGGTAGGCCTAGTTTTCACTAATGTTCCTTATCATAGCTTCAGGAGAGCTCATACACAGCTAGTGGCTCGAACATCAGTCAACTTTAGTTTAGTCGCAGTGGTCTCGATAGTGATAATCGCTTCGATGGTTCTCTCAATCTTCCCCTTCGCCCTAGTATTTCTGTGAGTCCTACGAAATGAGCTTGAAGATCACGGACATAGATAAAAGGCAGAGACCATGCTGTCACTGAGGGCGTCTCCTAAACCCTGAGATGGAGAAGGGTTCTGTGCATGTCAGAGCGGCCTGTTTGCAATTGTAAACGGCTGAGTAGGGTTCGAAGCAAAATGAACCCAATATGACATTTCATGAGGCTTGGGATACCCCCAGGGCTAGTGTGGAATAGGCCTTGCTTGTGTTGAAGTGGACTCGTGGGCGAGGAAAATTGGCTGTTCGATGAACAGTGCTGTACGAGGGCTACATCTAGTCTCTCGACATTGTAGTACCTCAATTGTGATATAACCAGGCCTAATAAATTGCCTTCTATCAGGCAAGCCGAGGTCTAGATTTACACCCTTGTAGTTTGTTTTTCAACCCTTACAAGAGTGAACATTTTTACACACTAGAAATCCAGAGCACTGCATGGTAGCATTCTTGTCTGAGATCCTTATGGAGTCACGATAGGAACCTCCTACCTGCTGCGATCAGAGATTGATCGTAGGCCGGGATCTACCCAGGAAGGTTCGCACGCAGTGAGAATAGTTGGTGGGCCCTTGATCTCAATAGCAGAGTGAATGTAAATGCTTGAGATGATAAAAACATGCAAACAAGGTCATATAAATAAGAGTACAAGGGAATGCGAACAGACCTATCTAGCCATGTACTCTAAGGGGTACATTCCCTTATTCAAATTCACTCCCAACCGTGCGGCGCGTACAGTTTCGTAACTGTTCCCGCCAAAACCATCCTGCCTGCAGCTGCCCGATGCCGTCTGCTTCCGACGGTCCAGATGCGTTCCAACTGTCCGTCGCTTCGAGTCAATTCCAACCGTCTGACGGTTCGCGTTCATTCTCGTTACTGCGTGCTTCTCTTTGCTGCGGTGAGGAGTGCACAGTAATATCAAATATTACTATTCGTAACACCCCCCTTCACTCCTGACCGTAGCTCGACTTGTCAGAATCTAGAGACAAGAATGAATGCATTGATGAAGAGTTGGGTACATAAGCTAACCCTAACATTGGGTTGTACCCCATATGGGCTACCCCACTAGCAGCCTACACAAACACAATATGCATAGTTTGACACACCCCCATAGGCAAAGTGGGGGAGAACAAGGGGTCACAAGACCAGTCAAGAGAAACAAACCAAGCTCAGGGTGGATCACAACGTCACCACACAGACTGAGCACAAGCAAAGGGCCACAAGGCCAGTCCACATGCAGAGGTATATATGCAACAAACAAAGTACAGTGATCACTACCTAGCAAGAGCAAGCATGCAGGTATATATATATAAAGATCACAGTACAGACAGAGTCTACAGCAAGTGTGGAAACGTAGGCACAAGGCCCAACAAGGTACAAAAGCGCTGATGATCACCAGACGGAAGTGCCTTGGTGAATATATCAGCAGTGTTGGCCCGAGTGGCCACGTGTGCAAGACGAAGCTGACCACGCTGCTGCAACTCTCGAGCCAGGAAGTAACGCAGAGCGATGTGCTTCGTTCTGTGCTCCAGTCTGTGCTCCTCACACAAGGCAATGGCTGCCTTGTTGTCAACGTACAGAACTGGAGGAGAACGAGGCCGCTCTCCCAGGTCGGTCAGCAGGTACGTGAGCCAGCGCAGCTCCTGAGCAGCCATGGCAGTGGCGTAGATCTCAGCCTCACAACTGGAGCTGAGAACAGAAGACGAGCGAGTAGAACGCCACGAAACAGAACCAGAGCCGAGGCTGAAAGTGTAACCCTGTGACGACCGCTGTGTAGCCTGGTCGTCAACCCAAGACGCGTCTGAGTGCCCAGTGAGGACCACCTCTCGCCGTCCTCCAAGCACGAGCCCCATGCCCGATGTACTGCACAAGTAGCGCAGTACCCTCTTCGCAGCTTCCCAGTGCACCTTTCGGTGCCGACCAGGAGCCACGTAGCGGGCCAAAAGGCCAAGAGGGTACGCAAGGTCAGGACGAGTGCAAGTCATCAGGTACATGAGGCAGCCTACTAGCTCTGGGTAAGGACCACTCGGCTCTACGGACTCGTCCAAAGGTGGAGCTGAGAGCGAGTGACCTGTAGCCAGAGGAGTGGACTGTGCCGAGGACCAGGTGAAGCTGAAGCGCTGAAGGACCTGCTGCACCATGTGTGACTGAGTCAGAGTGATGGTGCGACGTGCTCTGTCCCGGGTGATCTGCAAGCCAAGGTAGCTGCGCAGCTCACCCAGGTCTGTGCACGTGTGTCTCTTCTTCAGCTCCGACTTCACCAGGGTGAGAGCCTCAGTGTCAGCAGTGGCAAAGACCAAGTCGTCGACGTACACGAGGATGTAGAATGGCGGCAGCGAGGTGTCGGTGCGCAGAAACAGTGACGGGTCAGCTGTGGAGGGCGCAAACCCGAGAGCCGCAAGCGTAGTCCTCAGTGTGTCGTGCCACTCACGAGGCGCCTGACGGAGACCGTAGACTGGCCGGCGGAGGCTCCACTGGGTACCAGGAGGGAACGACCCAGTGAAGCCAGGTGGGCGGCGCAGCCAGATCTCCTCGTGCAGGCTGCCCTGCAAGAAAGCTGTGCTGAAGTCAAGCGAGTGAAGCTCGTAGTCACGCTGGGCGGCAACGTGCAGCAGTACCCGAAGAGTGGTCATCTTCGGGGTGGGGGAGAAGGTCTGGAAGAAGTCAACCCCCTCTCGCTGACTGAAGCCTCGAGCAACGTAACGTGCCTTGAAGACAGGCGGAGAACCAGGCGGCCGCTTCACCCTGAAAATCCACATGCCACTGACGATGTTCGCCCCAGGAGGGGGAACGTCGTCGACGTAGGTGCCTGTGGACTTCCAGGATGCCATTTCTGCGTCCATGGCTACCTGCCACTGAGAGGAGTAGGGACCCGCGACCGCCTCAGCGTACGAGCGCGGGGTGGGGATGTCTAGTGCATCCGGGTCTCCCTCAGGGGCAAGCAGCATGGTCACGAGATGAGGCGCAGCGGCTGCAAGACACTCAAGGTCCTCGTGCCTGTCCTCAAGGACGTCCGTGCTAAGAGCACACTCACCCCCGACGGACGGAGGACAGACAGACTCAGACTCAGCGACAAGACTAGCAGCGTAGTCTAGACGACAGGCAGCCGCAAAGTCAACAAGCTCAGCAACCAAAGCAGACGCAGCAGCAGACTCAAACGAGGGGTCAGTGACAACAGTGGCGAGCAGACGCGTGACAGTAGGGTGCTCAGCACGAAACCGGTCAGACTCAGGGTCCGGAACGTGAGGCAAGGAAGACGCAGGAGGAGACGGCAGAGAAACAGACTGCGGAACAGAGGAAGGACGACGGACGACAAGGTGTGCGGTGGGGACAGGCGGCGAACGCGGACGCGGAACACGACGACCGGTACGACTAGGACGAACAGGCGAGACAGGACGCGACGCAGGCTCACGACGCTCAGCAAGACTACCTGTCTGCTCAGTGTAAGGAGAAGGAGCAGGCAGCGGTGAGCTAGGCTGTAACGGAAGACCAGTAGACGACGGGAGAGTAAGAACCTGACGAAGAACAGAGTCAGGCGGCGGCAGAGACGACGGAGACGGCGGAGCGAAGAACAGTCGTGGAGGCGAAGCTGCACCAGTACCGGCAGCTCCAGCAGCAGATTCGACACCGCCAGGCCCAGGGTCTCCAACCCCAGTGCCTCCAGCAGCAGCACCCCCAGAACCAGTACCTCCAGTCCCAGGGTCTCCAGCCTCCACGTCTCCAGTAGCAGCACCCCCAGAACCAGCACCTCCAGTCCCAGGGTCTCCAGCACCTCCAGTAGAAACAGTACCAGCACCACTCCTAGCTCCAGGGACGGCAGCAGAAGTACCTCCAGCAGTAGAGCCCCGGGCTCCAGCAGCGCGACCCTGACGGCGACCGTACCAGTCGTGCAGCTGCTGCGAGGTGAGAGGCACACGTGGACGAAGGCGGCTACTCCAAGGAGACCGCGCAACAGCAGACTCTGAACCCTCAGCGCCAGCACCCTCAGCAGCTCCAGCGCCACCAGCACCAGGACCTCCAGCAGCTCCAGAACCTCCAGCGCTCGCACCCTCAGCAGCCCCAGAACCACCAGCTCCAGCACCTCCAGACCCCTCACACGCAGGCTCAGCACCTCCAGGCTCTACACCCTCAAGCTCCGCACCCCCAGGCTCCGCACCCCCAGGCTCAGCACCCCCAGACTCAGCACCCCCAGAAGTAGCACCCCGAGCAGGACCACCCCCAGCAGGACCTGAGTCACCAGTGACCTCAACCGGCGCAGGGAAGGGAGGAGGGTCTACCTGAGACACACCTGAGGGAGCAGGACCTGGAGCGGGGAGAGGGTCGACCTGGGGAGCACCTGGAGCGAGGAAGAGCGGCGGGGGAGGGAGAGGGGCAGTGCGGTAGGGGAAGAGACGTTGAAAGGGAACCGACTCGTCGAACGTGACGTCCTGAGACGCAAAGACACGACGCGAGGTGGGGTGGTAAAACTGCCAACCAGGCGCGTCAGGGACAAAGCCAAGGAAGACACAGGGAATAGCGCGGGCGGAGAGCTTGTCCGCAGTGGTATCGCGGACAAAGGCACGAGCACCCTAGACCCGGAAACGCGACGCATCGCCAACCTTCCCCGTCCACAGCAGTGTGGGCGAGGTCTCCGGCAAGGAGACACGGGGCCAGAGGTTGAGCTGATGCGCGGCGTACCGGACCGCAAACGGCCACAGAAAATGAGGGGCAGCCGCATGGATCATGGAGGTACGAGCGACCTCCATGACTAAGCCAATGCGGCGCTCAGCAACCCCATTCTGCTGCGGAGAGGCCGGAAGCGTGAACGTCTGGCGGACGCCGTGCTCCGCACAGTAGGCCGCCAAGAGGTCGGAGGTGAACTCACCACCTCTGTCAGAGTGCAGACGCAGGACAGGAAAGTCCCTCTCGAACCGCTCGCGGAGCTGGAGACGAACAGCGCGGATCCAAGGGATCAAAACATCAGGGACCTGACCCTTGCTGCGCAAGGGGAAGACCGTGGTGTAACGCGTGAAGTCGTCGACGACCAGCAGGAAGTACCGCTCGTGGCCCTGTCCACGGACGCGGGCTGGGCCCCACACGTCCAGGTGGAGAGTCTGCAGGGGAGCCTCTGTGGGAGGGAACGAGGAGGAGTGAGGAGCGGCGCGCTGCCGCCCCTCGACGCAGGGAATG